GACTATTTGTGCAAGAAGCACTGATTTTGTACATTACAACGTCAGTGTTCTTGTGCAAATACTCATGGCCAGTGTAGACAGGCGGCAAGATTTTGCGCAAAAGCGTTTGATTTTGCGCAAAATCTTGCCAATGTAGAGACAGCCTTCATGTTTTGTGGTTTGGCTGAGAAGTGGTGAACCCATTGTAGTGAGAAATGGATGGGCCAGCAGCTGCTCAAGCTATAAACAAACTAGGTGGCTGTCTAGGCCCTCAGCTTCTGCCAAGATGCCAGGAGTGGCTGGCCAAATCTAAATGGCACTAAATGAATGAGTAAAATTTTCTTTGACACGCACTTTTGGCATTTTTTTGCTGCAGAATTGTTTTTTAGAAGCCCTCTTATCTCTGAGATCCTAATTTCCCCATCCTGTCTGTTTTATAATAATAATAGTTTGCATTTCTATAGCATTCCCCATCTGAGGATCTGAAAGCACTTCACAAATGGTAATGCATTCTGACACATGAGGTAGTGTTCGCACTTTGGATCACACAAGAAGTCAAATATAGAGCTGGAGAGGGAGTCTGGAGACCTAGGCTCTAAACTTACTGTTTTAGTAAGACCATCCTTTTCTAAATATAAAACCTCTGCACGCCATGGCTGTCTGTGACTCTACATCCTTCAGTCCTTCACATCAGCTTCCAAGATTACAGTAACACTTCCCTGAATTTTGTCTTATTGCTAGTTTTACCAAAAAGCAAATGTTTTGGCTGGTTGCATCAATAATGAGTAAAACCTGCTTTTTTGCACAACTGACTACTTCACGCGCTACAGTCCCAGCCTCTGTTACTACTAGGAGAAGGCCAGTCTGTGGAGGCATGAACCTGTTTAAATTAGAAAACAAGTTTTTTAGGGATGCTTTAGGCTGTCTTTTGGAGAGGGTTCTTCAACTCCTGCCAGGTCCTTCTTGGTGGTCCTGCCAATCCTTGCTGAGCTATAATTAAAAAAAAAAAGTAGTTGCTCAAGGCTCCAGCAATGTTGTATGCCCAGCACACGCAGCTGGACAGCTGACAGGCTGGGGCCAAACAAGGACCAGCACTTAATGAAGCATGGATCACTAAAACATATGAAGGGATGGTGGTGGCAGTGTGCTAATTGTTAACATTCCACATCTACAAGACCCCCTCCCACCCTTTTTTTAAGTGTAAACAATCCTAGGCTCACAAAGTTGAGCCGTAGAGGATCTATGTAGAAGGCAGTATGGCTTGTATTCAGACAAAGCCAGGGGAGAATTGCTTCGTCTGAGTTTTGCTATGCTTCCTCCCAAAACCTGCCACTGAAACAATCATTTCTCTGTCTGCCATGCCATATACAGTACAGGTACCTCAATAGCTGAATATTAGGCTAGGTTATTAGAAACGTGTGTAAATCTGGACCTGGATATTTCAGGGCATAAGCAGATCTTACACGTACATCAGATTTTCAAATCTAAGCTGGAGAGCTTTCCACTGCTGCCCTGCTGATGCATTGCCTGGACCTCACACCAGTATGCTGCACAAGTAGCAGCAAAACAAGTGAAGCAGGACCACTATAGAGGAGGAGAGAGGGGGCATGTCATGGGCTAGCAGTTCTGGGAGTTAGCTTGTTGACTCTGTGGACACCTCCCTCTAGCTGGTGTCTCCACATGTTTCTCTTTGACCACAGCTTCATCTTCAGGACACTGCCCTCTGGCCATGCCCACTCCAGTGTCTGAGCCCCCCTTCCAGGGGTTGGTGTTTATCCTGCTTGCACTCCAGGTCCTTCCTTCCCCAGGGTATCCCATTTTCCTCTCATGGAACACCCAGTTCCCTTGTACCCAACTTGCCTCAGTGAACCTCCATCAGTCTTCATCTAGCCCCTGCCTCGGGCAAACTGCAGTCTGTAATGGCCACTCATTACTAGCAAAAGGGTGTGAACCTGCTGCCCCTGGCTACCATGGCTGCCTCTCTACAGCCCTAATAGCCTTGGGCCTTGCTTCAGGTCTTACAGACCGGGAGCTTGTTTGGCCAGAGCTTCCCCAGCCCTGCTCTACCTTCAGGAAGCCTACTACTTCCCTAGCAGTTAAATCCCTACCACTCCTTCTCCAAAACAGCAGTCAGTTCCCCCTTTCTATTTCGGAGTCCTTCTTTATATAGCCCCTAGCTGGGCTCTTATTAGCAGAACTGCCTCAGCTGGGGCTTCGCTCGCAGCCCTCACTCAGGGCTGGGGTTTTGCCCTTAAAGGGCCAGTGCAGGGCAAGCGCCCTATCACAGGGCAATATAGCTGTGGGGCTCATCCTGGTGATGGGGAGCAGAAGGATGTTTGAGAATACATATGGTTCCTGCTGCAGAGAAGAGAGAGGACCTATAAGCTGCATTTTGTGTGTGTGCACATGTATGCCAGGGGGTCTTTTTCAGTATGCAAATATGTCATTGCTTATTTTAAGAGGGAAAAGGGCATCATTAATGTGGGGTGGACTGTTGCATAGTAAGGTTTCATTCACAAATTAGTTATTGTTTGTGGGGTGTGGGTGGGAGAACATAGACTTTGGTGAAGGCAATTACCCCCATAAGATCTGGTGCATCCATGGGAAAGCAGATCCCTTTGTCTTTAGATTTATGTAAGTGGGTCTGTTTACACTCTGGCACCAATATGGCGCTCTGATGACAATCTGAACTTTCCTTGATGTTTGCTCCTATCTGCTCAGCTTTAGAGTAAGTTTGGTAATGGGTTTTTGACAGCTCCTTATCAACCTGAAGTTTATGGAGCTTCTTACATAAATAGCACGTGTGGGCCAAGTAAATCAGCCTTTAGAGTATTTGCAACCCACCTCTGATTGTGTAGCTCCGAGCACACATTTTACAACTTTGTCTATTTCCAATGGCTTTATGTAAATTGAGCAGGCAGGCACACTTCCCTCCCCCCATGTGATTTACTGCCTTTATCTGCTACCTTTTACAGTGGTGTGGCATCGCTGGTTAATGTCGCTGCTCTGCTGGTTAATGTTGCTACCCTGGTGGTTATCTTGTTTCACTTCTCTGGTGCGGGATCTGAATCTGACTTTGCTCCTGGTTTGAAGAGCATGCTGCTTCTTTGCTACCATCTTTTTTCCTTTTCCTTTCTTCTCTGTTGTATGTATGATGCTGGCTACCCTGTGCTTGAGGGAATGAGCTGGGATTGGCATGTGATAGCATGCAGCCATACAAGCATTACCCTTTACTTGTAACTATAAAGTATTTCTAGAGCATTCCCCAAGACTCCTCAGGGGCTGGCTTTAATGTCTATTACAGCAATGATAACATTCCTACTCTCCCCTTCTAAAGTACCATTTCATTTCCGGGTGCCAAAACATGCTAAGACATTGATGAAGCCTCACAGAAACCATCTGGGATTTACAAATTAGAGAAAGTAGAGATTAGGATGTCATCTCAGAGAGTAGAACACAGACTAGACAGTATGTTCCATAGAGAATGGAGCTGCACCACCTGGTACTTTGGAGGGCTGTGACATAGTGGGGGTGCTGTCTACTTTTGTAATCCTGTGTTCACTCTGGTGTTGCATTCACCATTTGTCTTATGGGTTAATATGTGATCCTACTGTCCTATGCTGCTTTGTAGTGATGATGTGTGTGTGTGTCTGTGTGTGTATGTCTGTGTCTGTCTGTGTGCGTGCCTCAGTTTCCCCAGACCCTGCAGCACTAGCTGCATGAGGAGAGGGAGGCGGGGTGTGACTCACTGAGGAAGTATGTTTAGTCTCTCATGTCCTGAGGCCCAGGTGACAGGAGATAACACCTTGAAAGCAGGACAAAGGAGGGGGCGGGGTGGCCTGGGGCCAGGGAGCAGTGGCTGTGAGCGTGGATCAGTCTTGGTGGTGCTAGGAGGAATGAGGAAGCTGAGAGCAGGAAAAGGGGTGAAGGGCCCAGGAACTCCTTCCCCTCCTGAGAGGAATAATTCTGTCTGCCCTGGCTCCTGTGTTAACATCGGTCCCATGCTACGCTGCTTCTCTGTGAACCAATAAACCTTCTACACTGCTGGCCGGCTGAGCGTCACATTTGGCTGCGGATGGGGGTGCAGGGTCGGGAACCTCCTGACATGCTGTCACAAGGGCCAGGTCCCATATTTATGTATGTATTTTCTTTAAGAACATAACAGCTGAGGACATTAGCAGGCCCCTGAGCAGTCATGGAACCACTACACATCTGAACAAAATCCTTTGGGCTGATATCTGTGTGCAGATGCACGCACAGTGCATTGCTGGCAGTCAGAATCACGTTCACACAGTCAACGGCAGAATTTGACCCTCAAACTATTTGTTTTTGGTTTGTAAAATGAGGTGATCATACATCCCAAAGGGCTAGACTATGGCATTGCCATGTGGTCTGTACATAAGGCAGTGCCCAGAAGGAATGGTGCCTCAAGATGGCAGTGGTGCGACTTGCAGAATAAGGCCATCTGAGTGTACGAATGTCAGAGCCAGACCCTAGATGATTCATTGTGGGGACTTGATGATGCACTCTTTACTAAGGTTAAAGTCCCATTGATATTATTGGGTGTTTTGCCTACATGAACAAGTCCCTCATTGGAAAACTGTGTGAGTGTCTTGTTAGTGCAGAGTCATAAATCTCATGAGTTCAATTCAATCAGTAACTTCTAATTATGAAACTGATGCATTGCAAGTAGCTAAGTGAATTGTATGGATTATGTAAGTGACCAGGGAATGTACTTTATAGGCTGTTAGTATTGCGGCACAGTCTCAAACACAGATGTGGAATTTGGCTGGGTGAAAGGGACTGGGAGGAGTCAGGAAGATTCTGGTATGGTTCAGAGCAAAAGGGAGAAAGACTCTTATATGACAACCAAAGCTTAGTGTAGTGGTAAGGAATGTGTGAGGAGGGTGATCTCAGAGGTATCTCACTGTCCTTGCAGTGTGTCATTAGTTCAAAATGTAAGCAATGCATGTGCAGTATCCTTTATCTTCACTTAAGCTTTACTTCTCATTTTTGCTTAGGTGGAAGTTGCAGAAATTTGCACCAAGAGTGAACGCTACATTGGCACAGAGGGAGGAGGCATGGACCAGTCGATATCATTCCTTGCAGAAGAAGGAACTGTACGTGACTCTTTTAGCAATAAATTAAGAACACATCATAACAATACAAATTAAAGATACATGAATGGAAGTAGCTGAGCAAAACAGTACAGACACTGATTATGCACTAATGAAGATGCGAGAGTATATATGTGCCTCATTGTATTAAAAATGCCGCTGTTCAGCACTCGAGAGCCAGGTCAGACTAAGAAGATGAGATGAAAATAGATGGAGAGAGAATAGAAAGGCTATCTGGGAAAGGAAGAGATAGGAAAGAGGAGTAATAGACTCTACATTGGTTAACTGATGCCTGGAGTAATTCCTACATTATGAAATCTGAAGCTCTAGAATTCCCTATGCTAGTTATCACAAGAATTCTTTATTGGAATGTCTAGTGACAGACCAGTTCTAGTAAAGCTTCCAGATTCGCTCATATACACAATGGGGAATTTAAAAATATTTAACAGACTTTGATTTCTTAAAATGCCAGTGTTTGATTAGGTTGTAGAACATATCTGTCTTAAACATGAGAAACATATGAATTCATCTGAGGAAGTGGGCTGTGCCCCCGAAAGCTCATGATACCATCTACATTTTTTGTTAGTCTCAGTGGTGCTGCGAGACTATTTGTTGGTTTTTAAGTTTTGGCTTGGAAGCAGATTGGCATGTGGCCACCTGTTTAGTGCTATTCATGGAACCATGCAGTAAGCGAAGAGTGCCAAACCCAGTAATGGGTCCCTGCTTCGCAGAGCTGAGCAGATCCCTGACATAGCATGTAATATACAACCTACCCAGTGAAAAGTAAAAGCTAGGCATGCGTCTCATCTCTTCATGACATCACAGCCTGAATGATTTAGTTATTGAAATGTATAGCCTAGTCATTCTCCCAAAGGGCACCACATGCTGTATCCATAACAGACCTCACCACAAGCCTATGAGGCCAGGAATTATTTTATTCCAGTTCTATTACTGGGGAAAGTGAGGCAGTAACTGGCTGAATGTAGTAAGGTCCTACACGCTACTCAATGGCATTTCTCTGTTTCTGTCTGTGAGGCAATGGGCTCAAAAGTATTCAATTACAAATTTTCAAAATACCTAGTCCCATGCTCCTTTTGTCATTAGTGCCCCTACCCTCCCAGTCTGTAAGCACTAGCCCCTGAATCCTATATGAATGGGGTTTTGAAGCCCTGGTAGGCTAAAACAGAAACAATCACAAGGCAAATGGGGGCAGGGGAGAGGACATAGAATCCCCAGCACGATGGACGAGTAGAATGGAGTGTGCACAACTCCAGGCATAAGGGTGTGACTGGGGGATCCCAGTATGGAGGCAGAGAGTATTGGAGTACACAACACACCCCTGGCATTGTGGGTTGTGGAGTATTGCAGAAAGTCCCTGAATTAGAGGGGTGATGAGAGGGTCCTTAGGGACCTTCTGGGCTAATGGGGGGAGTTAAGAAGTCCCTGGTATATGCAGTGAGCTCAGCGTACAGAAGCAGCAGAAGTGTGCAAAACCATCTAGTTTGTAGGCATGTCATTTTGCACAATAACATCGTGATCCTGCAATGCTTGGCAGATTGCTGTGCCTTTGTGGAACCCTGATGATTCTGATGGGGTCCATACAGGTGCAAAAACCTCTCCCACACAAAACACCGCTGGAGTGGATCCTGAATTTGTTGTATGAAAACAAGGTGGTTGCCCATTATTTCTAGCCAGTTGATTTGCATGACAGGCTCCCTCAGAGCATTCTGGATGTTTTATTGAATAGTAGCTCACTGTAGTTATTGGGGATGGGCCTGGATCAAGACTTTGAACACCCCAGAATGCAGGATGTTCAAATGTAAGGCTTTGTTTGGTCCCAGCTCTCACATATAGGGTTCAGTTATTACTGCCATAGTCCTATGCTTTGGTTCCACCATGCCCTCTCCAGCGGGATTTCAGTTTCCCAAATCCTACTGCCATCTTCCTTTTAAAAGGAAGTTATTTTGAAAAGATTTGCCTGCAGATATCTTCTGTGAAACAGAAAACACAAGGACTTTTAATGGAGAAGCCATAAATTCCAGCTCCCAGGAAGAGGCTTACGATTTTCTTGTAACTTGATCGTTGCAGCTAAATAGCTTTTCTTACTGTTTCATGTCAATTTCCTTAATTAACCGTCTGTGGGTTCTTGAGAGAAAAAAATTTGCAAAGGCAAATGTATTTGATTTATTGAGCTAACTCCATTGCTAGTAATTTAAAATTGACCATTCATTTTTCTTTTACTAGGCCAAGCTGATAGAGTTCAGTCCTCTGAGGGCAACTGATGTGAGACTTCCAAGTGGAGCAGCTTTTGTTATTGCCAACAGTTGTGTTGAAATGAATAAAGCAGCAACTTCTCATTACAATATTAGGGTGATGGAGTGTCGTCTGGCTACAAAGGTACTGTATGGCTTTTGTCAAACTCTAATGAAACCTTCATCCAAGTATGTGCTTTCTTCTACCCATGACCAGTCTTGGCTTTACTTTAACACCAGGTCAGGTGCTGCTTTAACTGGCATTTTTATCTTCTCAGGGCCTGACCCCTCTACCCTGTTGCAAGGCAAACTCCCACAGAGTTCAATGGAAGTGTGAGGCGTCTGGGATCAGACCTTTGTTGTACTGTTTTAGGGTCTGTGGTTTAGCAGTATTGAGTTTATTATTATTATTATTATTATTATTATTATTATTATTATTAGCCATGGATGGAGAGAACAAGTTAATTCCTTTTCAACAAAAATATGTTTAGTTAATATGAGTAGAGGGCTTCTAATGAAATCCTGATAATGAAAAGGCAGTGGAGAAAAACAAAAGTATTTGCATGGTAGTTATGTATGTTCAGTAATAGGTACACAGTTATTGGGTAAGCAGATGGCAATAATCAAAGATACAATGTAGAAACATTAAAATGCTATTGGAAGTGTTGATTAGAAATAGATACTTGCATTAACTTTAAAGATGGGCCTGAACCAATACTGCAGATTTGGCTGTGGCCTGGGGTGCCAATTCACATCTTAAACTTGTCTCTAAAATAGGTTGACTCTGAACACTCCAAGCCTGGGGAAAGTTTGAATTTGGACCCGAATTGGAAAATGCCAGAGTTTGGGAGTATTCAGATTTGAGGTTTGGATTCAGTCAGTTGTAAAAATAAAGGGGACTATTACACTGGCATAAATGTGGAGTAGCCTGGCTGACTCAGAGGACATACTCCCAATTTATACTGCTGTGAGTAAAATGTATCTCAGAGAATTCAGCTGAGAGTTTACATAATTACATGGTGGGATTCATTGCCCCTTTATGTCAAGGACATTTATATGGAGAAGAATATCCAGCATTGTAACAGTTAATGCTGAAAGAGGAAAAGAGAGAATCTAATAATCAGTGAAACATTTTAAGCTTCCTGTATTGGCTGATAGCAGAAGCTAAACCAAGGGTGTAGTTTGGAAAGTACCATTTTTTATGTATTTAAGACAGCAGTAATAAATAATGTCAGTGGTCATGGCCAGTTTCTTCGCTATGGATTGTCATGGACTTTAGTGTAGTCAGGATCAGTACCTCTCTATGAATAGCTTTTGAGTGGAATGACAATTAAATAACTCAGCTAATTTGGGTAGTCCTTGTTTCTTTTGGAAGCTAATTCAAATTAAAGCTCAGGAATATTCATATATCCTATTTTTTAAAAGACCATTTGTAAGGCCTTAAGTGTTGTTTCATTAAGCAAGGTAGGTGAATTGTACCAGTGTTTAAAATTGCTTTGCTTAGTTGTTCTGCGTTGCAAACTGCAAAAGAATGAAGGGAAAGATGGATGTTATGCCACCTGTTAGAGATGACACAATCTGCAAAAAAATACTTTACACAGATGTACAATTTAAAGGAAAGTAACAATTTACATCTGCCCAATTTAAGCACATGTTGCCCAGATGGATAGTTGCATGCATAATAAAAAAATTGTTGAGACAGAGAAAACCTGTTTCCTTTAAAGACAAGTCATAGACGGGTGAAGGTGGGCAGAGAGGAAGCAGGGTTGTCTTTTAGGTACTATGAACACAGCAGAACTAATAAGTTAACGGATCTATGAAACATTAGCTTAGGCGTCACAACACAACTTTGTAGATTGTTCTTATTGATGGGTGTCTCGGTGATAGTATTTGTCTTTCATTCTTGTAGCTCTAATCTCATTTCCCTTACTCTTTCCATTGTAGACATTTATATGCGTGGGGAGACACTAGCATAACATATTCCTAAGTGCTTTGATTGGTGCAGGATATAATGAATACTTGATTACCTCTCTCAATACCTGCTGCCTTTCCTTCTCCTTTCTTCAACACTCATCCATTCTTTTTCTTTTTATTCAGGTTTTTATATTATGCTCCTCACTGTAGTCCCTGGCGTGGCGCCCGATTGGAGGTCTAAGGGGCGCCGTGCACTGCCTAGTGGCAGCTCTAAGGGGTGCCGCACTGCCCCCGGCTCTGGGCGTGTGGCGCCCCTTACAGCTGCCATCAGGCGACCCCCCCATGGGTTGGCACCCTGGGCAGTTGTCTGGTTAGCCCCCCCACTTCCAGCCCTGCCTGGATCTCCCCCACTTCCCAGCAGCTGTTATGCTTAGAAACTGCTCTCTGGGAAACTCCATTTTGTTTCTTTATTCTGGGCAAGCGTTTTGTTGGGGAAGAAACTTTGGTCCAGAATTCTTGCCTCTGAAAATTCAACCATAGGTGTCACTGGATGGATACCCAGCATTAGCAAAAAATGTAGGTCTTTGCTTCTTTGTACTATGGGTCAGGTCAGTGTTTCTCAAAGGGTCGTGTGCCTGCTTTGGGAAAGCTGCTAGTGGGCCCATGCCCAGTGGCTTTCTCAAAATGGGCCTGAGGCTCACTTTGAGAAACAGTGCTTCAGGTTATTCTCTTCACTTGTAAAATGGTGTTAATAATGTCTGTTTATCTGTCTACCTTAATGGGAGCTATAAAGTTTAATCAATAAATGTTTCTGAAGTAGTAAAGGACCCTCAGAGGGCACTATGAAGCACTAGGATAGTATTATTGTTATTTAAGGCTAAGTACACCAATATTCACTGTGAATCATTGTGTATATTTCTCCCATAATTTACTGGGATATAAATTGTTTACTTATATTCACATGTACTTAGCTTAGAAATGAATAGGTCATGTTATTGGAGTGGATGATGACAGATTCCTGAAAAAGAATCCTCTTTGGTTAGATGAAACTTGGAAAGAGCAGGAAGAGCAGCTATTCTAGGCACTTCAAAGAAACTCTTAAGGAGAATCTCAACTTATGTGATATAAATATTGATCACTTTGAAGACAGAACCATGGACAAACCTGATTGTAGAGCAACTATCAATAATGTTGTAAACACTTACCCCACGGGTTGGTTGCAGGGCCAATTTTGTTCAGCATCTTTATTAATGGCTTGGATGAGGGGATGGATTTCTCCCTCAGCAAGTTCTCAGATGACACTAAGGTGGGGGAGAGGTAGATACCCTGGAGGGCAGAGATAGGGTCCAGAGTGACCTAGACAAATTGGAGGATTGGGCCAAAAGAAATCTTCTGATGTTCAACAAGGTCAAGTGCAGACTCCTGAACTTGGAATGGAAGAATCCCAAGCACTGTTACAGCGTGGTGACCAACTGGCTAAGCAAAAAAAGGACCTGGGAATTACAGTAGATGAGAAGCTAGATATGAGTCAACAGTGTGCCCTTGTAGTCAAGAAGGCTAATGGCATATTGGGATGCATTAGGAGGAGCAATGCCAGCAGATCTAGAGAAGTGATTATTCCCCTTTATTCTGCACTGGTGAGGCCACCTCTGGAGTATTGCATCCAATTCTGGGGCCCCCATTACAGAAAGAATGTGCATACATTGGAGAAAGTCCAGCGGAAGGCAACAAAAATGATTAGGGGGCTGGAGAACATGACAGATGGCCATACATTTATAGTGTTCTAATAAGACACTAATATTGAGCAATAATGTCCAGAAAAAGAGGGTGTAAATCGGTAGTTAAGAAGTAGCTTGAGGATACCTTACGTCTTTACTCCACCTGATGTGTAACTGCCAGGAAACACCCAAGTATGGGGTCAGTATTCTTGTAAATTCTACAGATGGATTTTCCCTATTTCTTTTCTGGGTCTGGTGTCTGTGGTATTTTGAGTTAATCAGGTGGGTTTTTTTAAAAGGTCAGAAACTTCATTGTCATACGTTTGAATGATCACAAAGATACCCGGTGCTAAATGTTTTGCAGTGATCAGTTTCTGTTCAGTATGTTTAGTCTGGAGAATATCTAAATAATAAGCTCATCCCAAAGGTAGCTTCTCTTCAAGGAATTGGGAAGGATGCAGCAATGCACCAGTAGCATAATTACTAATAACACAGGCTACGTCTAGACTGGCCCCTATTACGAAATAGCCATGCTAATTTCCAACTTTGCAATAGGGAAATCCGCGGGGGATTTAAATACCCCATGTTTAGTCTGGAGAATATCTAAATAATAAGCTCATCCCAAAGGTAGCTTCTCTTCAAGGAATTGGGAAGGATGCAGCAATGCACCAGTAGCATAATTACTAATAACACAGGCTACGTCTAGACTGGCCCCTATTACGAAATAGCCATGCTAATTTCCAACTTTGCAATAGGGAAATCCGCGGGGGATTTAAATACCCCCCCCAATACCGGGTAACTCCCACTAGGAAAGTACTAAAATAGATGGTTGATGATAAAATACACAGAGAGAAAAAGATGATATGGAATCAGAATTTTATCAGCATATATTTAAGATATGTACTTTGCTCACATGTGGGGAAGCAACACATGAAAGCCATCCCAAACAATTGCCAGTAAAATCTCTTGAAAGTAGGAATAAGAGATCCTCCGGAAAAGGGCTTTATTCCGGAGGATCGTGCCAGTCTAGACGCTTTTTGCCGGCTTTTCCCCAAGCCGGAAAAAAAGCGGCGGACATGTTTATTTAAATCCCGCAGGGGGTATTTAAATCCCCCGCAGATTTCCCTATTCCAAAGTTGGAAATTAGCATGGCTATTTCATAATAGGGGCCAGTCTAGACGTAGCCACAGTGAATAATGTATTCAGATAATAGAAAGGATTTTGCTGGTTTTTCTGATGATACCTACTGATCGTTAGTGCAATATAATAATGTTTTGCATCTCTTCAGCACCGTTAAGCTGAAGCTCAAATCACTTTTACAGGCAACTATTAAAGCTATGAAAGTTTAAAGTTAAATATGTGAAGGAAATATTATTCATGGTGACAGTGACTCATCAGCTGACATTGTGCCATATGGCTGTGTGTAGTATTGTAGGGTTTTTTTCTTCATATTTCTTCTGATCATCCATTCATCTTGTGAGTGGGACTTCCAGCTGGATCATATTTAGCCTCATCCTTTTCCACTGGTAATATAAGGGTAACTCAGCAGTCCCACAACTTCACATCGGATCATTAGGCCAGGCTCAGGTCACTAGTCCTTCCAGTCCTTGTGCCTGGGATCTCCTCAGCAAGACTCTAAAGGCTACATCTACACTGCCCAGTCTTGTGCAAGAACATATGCAAATGAGGTGCGGCGATGAATATCATCCTGCCTCATTTGCATACTTAATGAGCCACCATTTTGCACAAGAAGGAGCAATCTACACTCCTTATTTTCAGGCAGAATAGCTCTTGCACAAGCAAGTATAGACTGCTCCTTCTTGTGCAAAAGCCTCTTGCGCAAAATGACGGCTCATTAAGTATGTAAATGAGGCACAGTGATATTTATTGCCATGCCTCATTTCCATATGTTGTTGCGCAAAAGGGCGCAATGTAGATGTAGCCTTAATTTCTGCCTTGTCAGGCCTTTGATTCTTTCCTAAGCTACGTCCTACATCAGTCCACCTTCTCCTGAACAGGCTCACATGTTCAGCTCCCAGCATGACAAAGGAAAGAAAACCACCAGTGTCTTGCTCTAACATTAACAGGTGTGTTGTGAGCAAGACACGAGAAGTCATTCTTCCGCTCTACTCTGCGCTGGTTAGGCCTCAGTTGTGTCCAGTTCTGGGCACCGCATTTCAAGAAAGATGCGGAGAAATTGGAGAGGGTCCAGAGAAGAGCAACAAGAATAATTAAAGGTCTATAGAACATGACCTATGAAGGAAGGCTGAAAGAATTGGGTTTGTTTAGTTTAGAAAAGAGAAGACTGAGGGGGGACATGATAGCAATTTTCAGGTATCTAAAAGGGTGTCATGAGGAGGAAGGAGAAAACTTGTTCATCTTGGCCTCTGAGGATAGAACAAGAAGCAATGGGCTTAAACTGCAGCAAGAGAAGTTTAGGTTGGACATTAGGAAAAAGTTCCTAACTGTCAGGGTAGTCAGACACTGGAATAAATTGCCCAGGGAGGTTGTGGAATCCCCATCTCTGGAAATATTTAAGAGTAGGTTAGATAAATGTCTATCATCTTGAAAGTAGGAATAAGAGATCCTCCGGAAAAGGGCTTTATTCCGGAGGATCGTGCCAGTCTAGACGCTTTTTGCCGGCTTTTCCCCAAGCCGGAAAAAAAGCGGCGGACATGTTTATTTAAATCCCGCAGGGGGTATTTAAATCCCCCGCAGATTTCCCTATTCCAAAGTTGGAAATTAGCATGGCTATTTCATAATAGGGGCCAGTCTAGACGTAGCCACAGTGAATAATGTATTCAGATAATAGAAAGGATTTTGCTGGTTTTTCTGATGATACCTACTGATCGTTAGTGCAATATAATAATGTTTTGCATCTCTTCAGCACCGTTAAGCTGAAGCTCAAATCACTTTTACAGGCAACTATTAAAGCTATGAAAGTTTAAAGTTAAATATGTGAAGGAAATATTATTCATGGTGACAGTGACTCATCAGCTGACATTGTGCCATATGGCTGTGTGTAGTATTGTAGGGTTTTTTTCTTCATATTTCTTCTGATCATCCATTCATCTTGTGAGTGGGACTTCCAGCTGGATCATATTTAGCCTCATCCTTTTCCACTGGTAATATAAGGGTAACTCAGCAGTCCCACAACTTCACATCGGATCATTAGGCCAGGCTCAGGTCACTAGTCCTTCCAGTCCTTGTGCCTGGGATCTCCTCAGCAAGACTCTAAAGGCTACATCTACACTGCCCAGTCTTGTGCAAGAACATATGCAAATGAGGTGCGGCGATGAATATCATCCTGCCTCATTTGCATACTTAATGAGCCACCATTTTGCACAAGAAGGAGCAATCTACACTCCTTATTTTCAGGCAGAATAGCTCTTGCACAAGCAAGTATAGACTGCTCCTTCTTGTGCAAAAGCCTCTTGCGCAAAATGACGGCTCATTAAGTATGTAAATGAGGCACAGTGATATTTATTGCCATGCCTCATTTCCATATGTTGTTGCGCAAAAGGGCGCAATGTAGATGTAGCCTTAATTTCTGCCTTGTCAGGCCTTTGATTCTTTCCTAAGCTACGTCCTACATCAGTCCACCTTCTCCTGAACAGGCTCACATGTTCAGCTCCCAGCATGACAAAGGAAAGAAAACCACCAGTGTCTTGCTCTAACATTAACAGGTGTGTTGTGAGCAAGACACGAGAAGTCATTCTTCCGCTCTACTCTGCGCTGGTTAGGCCTCAGTTGTGTCCAGTTCTGGGCACCGCATTTCAAGAAAGATGCGGAGAAATTGGAGAGGGTCCAGAGAAGAGCAACAAGAATAATTAAAGGTCTATAGAACATGACCTATGAAGGAAGGCTGAAAGAATTGGGTTTGTTTAGTTTAGAAAAGAGAAGACTGAGGGGGGACATGATAGCAATTTTCAGGTATCTAAAAGGGTGTCATGAGGAGGAAGGAGAAAACTTGTTCATCTTGGCCTCTGAGGATAGAACAAGAAGCAATGGGCTTAAACTGCAGCAAGAGAAGTTTAGGTTGGACATTAGGAAAAAGTTCCTAACTGTCAGGGTAGTCAGACACTGGAATAAATTGCCCAGGGAGGTTGTGGAATCCCCATCTCTGGAAATATTTAAGAGTAGGTTAGATAAATGTCTATCAGGGTTGGTCTCGACAGTATTTGGTCCTGCCATGAGGGCAGGTCCCTTCCAGTCCTAGTATTCTATGATTCTAACTGACTGCAGAAATCTGTGTGAAAAAGAATCCACCAGTTCTTGGAAAAGTCCCAATATAGTCCCCAATTACACAAAGCAAATACTTAACTTTCAGCATGTACTTAAGTCCCACTAACCTGAAAGTTAGTCCCACTGAAGTGCTTTCCTGAAAAGAGATGATCTGCGGTATTGAGGCCTTTATGCTTTCAAACAATTTTAACTTCAGACCAGTGTTTTTTGAAAAGAAAAAGAGGAAATCCTCGCCCCACTCAAATCAACACACTTGAGTGCAGAACACAGTCTCAATTTAATATAACACGCCTGTATAAATGACTCCAGAAAAATCTTCCTTGTTAAGGTTGAGACTCCCTTTTAAAATGAATGAGAATACAGGTTGAACCTCTCTAGTCTGGTGCACTCTGGTCCAGCATAATGTTAGTTAGCCAGTGTCCACTAATCATGGGCATGGGCAAGTTTTCCGCTGTCCCTTAAAGTTTGTTTATAGCCAACAGTCCTGGCTCTCAGTATTCTGTGCTGTTATTTAGCTCTAATTTACCACTAAATGTCTTCTAAGAGCCCAGTAAGCAGTGGAAGCTGCCAGACAATATTGACCTCTAATGGTCTGGCAAATTGTCTGGTTTGGCATGGTCTAGGGTGCCAGACTGTAGGGGTTCAACCTGTAGAATGCTGCAGTTATAAAAATAATATACACTAGAAAGTCATCAAGCTTGCAATTAGGGGTCCAGCACCAACCTTACCATGAAATTCAGCTCTCCAGCACGCTTAGAAGAAAGTATCACAACAACTTCAGAAATTTGGGTTTATTAAATACCACCAATCAGGCTGAGTGGTCACTATTCGATCAAAGACAGATAACAGCAAGTCCTCCTTTGACCTTCTAGAATTGTGCTGGGGAATGTGTAAGAACAAATGTCTAAAATTGGTTTTATAAAATGAATAATAGTTGGAGGGGATAGCTTGTGGAAAACAAGAGATCATTGATTTGACTAGATATACCGTATTTTCTGGCGTATAAGACGACTTTTGATGTTAAAAAACATCCCCCAAAAATCGGGGGTCATCTTATACGCCGGGTATACAGCTTTGTGGCTTTGCAAAGCCTTGGGGGAAGCCGGCGGCGGGGCCCCTCCACGGCTTTGCAAAGCCTCGGGGGAAGCTGGAGCAAAGCCTCAGAAGCGCGGCCCCCCGCCGCCGCTTCAGCTTTGCTCCCGGTGCTCAATTTCCCGGGTTTCATTTGCATAAACTGGGCGCCGCCATTTTTAAATCCCTGCTCGTTCGAACCCCGTGCCGCATGTAGCCACGCGGCACGGGGTTCGAACGAGCAGGGATTTAAAAATGGTGGCTCCCCGCTTATGCAAATGAAGCCCGGGAAATTCAAATCCCGGGCTTCATTTGCAAGTGCGGTATGCCTACATTACCCTCCTAGTTCGAACTAGGAGGGTAGTGTAGACATACCCTGAGGGTATGTCTACACTGCATCCCTAGTTCGAACTAGGGATGCAAATGGAGACAATCGAAGTAGTTAATGAAGCGGGGATTTAAATATCCCGCGCTCCATTAACATGATCTCGCCGGCGCGCTAGTTCGAATCACAGCTGATTCGAACCAGGAAGTGCGCGCCGGGACGCGTTAGTTCAGACTAAAGCCCTTAGTCCGAACTAATGTTACTCCTCAAAAAATGAGGAGTAACATTTTGAGGAGTAACATTAGTTCGGACTAAGGGCTTTAGTCTGAACTAACGCGTCCCGGCGCGCACTTCCTGGTTCGAATCAGCTGTGATTCGAACTAGCGCGCCGGCGAGATCATGTTAATGGAGCGCGGGATATTTAAATCCCCGCTTCATTAACTACTTCGATTGTCTCCATTTGCATCCCTAGTTCGAACTAGGGATGCAGTGTAGACATACCCTAAGAGATTTAGGCTAATGTTTTAAGAAAAGAAATGCTTACATTTTTTTGGGCTGTTATTGACAGAAATCTTCCTGTTCTGGTACTAGATCTGTGTGTAAACATATTGGCTATTTGCTGTGTAAGGATAAATGGCTTGATGGCTTTTCCTGAAAAAAATCCGTTCTCTAAGGTCTGTTTGCTTTATGAAATATGTCATGTCAATTTCAAACTATGATGTGTGTCACTGTTTGTTTTTGCTGTGGTAAGCTTCTCGCTAAGTCAAAAGGCCTAGAATGGAAAACAATGCTGAAGCTCCAAGATGTGCAGGCCAAGCTAGGAGTTAGCCTGAAGGAAATGCTGACCGTTGTCGAGGAGGTATTTCACCCTGAGCCTTACAGCACAGAGGAAATTTGTACATGCCTGGGAATTAGCCTTGAGGAGCTCCGCACTCAGATCCTCAGTCAAAACACGCAAGATGGTGAGTGTACATCAGATGGTGGTTTTTATTTTAAAAAGCTCGTGTTATGGCCAAGCTAGGAGTTAGCCTGAAGGAAATGCTGACCGTTGTCGAGGAGGTATTTCACCCTGAGCCTTACAGCACAGAGGAAATTTGTACATGCCTGGGAATTAGCCTTGAGGAGCTCCGCACTCAGATCCTCAGTCAAAACACGCAAGATGGTGAGTGTACATCAGATGGTGGTTTTTATTTTAAAAAGCTCGTGTTATGTAAAATGCCTATAATACATAAAGGACCTGGACATCTTGCCAAAAGAGTTCATCAG